AATATATAGCCATATATATATATATAGAGAGAGAGAGAGAGAGAGAGAGAGAGAGAGCAGTAAGAGGCCCACATAGAGACCCGAACATACAAAGCTAGGGCTTAGGGTCAGAGTCTGGTTAATGCTTTCGGGTTTGGGAAGAGTTTAAGCTTTTGGGTTTGAGGGGACGGCCGTCCAAACCGATATTCCGGCCAAACATAACCGGTACTCCGTTTGACTGAAGTATCCTGTGGGGTTATATGGTTTGGGAAGGGATACTTCATGGGGTTTTTGGTTTGGGAAGGGATACTTGAGATGTGTCAAATATCGACGCAGCTTCACTTCAGGCACGAGAGCCATATGCATGTTTCCACAAACTTTAAAAAGCAGTGCATAAGGGCATAAGGTAAGAGTCTTACACCTTACCGACATCCATGTTTAGACAAGATTAAAGAAAGCTGTGCATAAGGCTTGAAGTCTTGCACCTGGCATCCATATGCATGGTTACACAAGCATAAAGATAGCAGTGCAACATAGGGCTTGAAGTCTTCTGCAATGTCTTCTTCGGAATACACCGATGTGGATGCCCTATCGGAGTCGGAGTCCTCGTCTACTGGAACTGATGTGAATGCGAGAGAAAGCTCGAAGGGCTCTCACGAGTCCTATGATGACTCAGAATACTCTGATGAGTATTACTCCGTCTGCTACGACTCCAGCTCCAGCGATGTGGAGCTGCCAGACTGGGAGGATGCTCGCAAGCGGGCGCGGCAACTTATCAAACCAATTATGTCTTACTTGAAAAGGAGTCTTGTGTCAACCATCGCTGCTATTGGTTGCTTCCGTGCAACTCAGGCGTGATCCTTTCAAGTGCCAGAAGCTGAATGCCAAGCAACGACAGTATGTGTCTGGCTGGGCAAACTCCATGTTGTGCCGTACCGGAGACTTGTACACATTGCGCATGCCGTTGTGAGCTTCATTTTCCGCTTGGCAAGCCGTGTGTTCAATCGAGGAATGCTGCAAAGGGTGAAACGTTTTCTACAGTACGATTTCCCCGTGATGTCCGACTGTGCCTTGGGTTGCAAATTCAGGGATTGAAGGATCGTTGTCTGCTTGGCGGCTCTCGAGGTTCGGGCGCGGAGGGCGGCATTCTATCTTTGCAGGCCTTGGGAGTCAAGGCGAGGACCGTGTAGTCTGTAACATGAGGAGTCGCATTAGACTATTCCTACAAACATCTGCCGAGGTTGAGCATATCTCCAGCTCGGAGATCAACTGTATAGCTACTGATTGGATTGCTCGGAACTTCAAGCCGCGTGTGCTACTTGGTATGCCACCTCAATCTCGTCGTTCTTCTGCCCGAAGGCTAGATAAACGGATTGCAAGTACATATGTGGATATCTCAGGTTCTACCCGAACGTCCTCGACCGGACTTTGCGCCGAGATAATTATCGAGCCGGTGCCCTCATCGCCGGCTTTCCATGCCAGCCGCTGCTTGGCCAAAGCCTGGTCATTGTCATATTGGAATGTGCAATCTGCGCAGTCAATGAATCTACATCGGATTCAGGTTCTCAGTGCTTCGGAGTGAGACTGACTTGCTCGACGAGCAGGACTCGGAAGTCTAGTTTAAAGTCGGAGTTAGGCTGAAATTCTTCACTCGGAGTTCGATGCTGTCGGGCAGCCCACAGGCTGCGAAGCCGTTTTTCGCCATCGTGAAGACCATTGGCGAGTCCCTTGGCTCGGTCTAGCTGGTCTCCTGTTAAACTAGTGAAGAGTGTGCTCAGGCTTCGGGTTCCACTCTATATCTTGGAAAATGTCATGGGCATCAAAAGATGCCTCGGGGAAGTGACAGCTGAGCTAGGCAAGCTGAAAGAGTATGTTCGTGGCATGGTGCAAATTGACAGCAAAGCCATCGGCGACGTCGTGAGCAGACCACGACTGTACTTTATCGGCATCCACAGGCCATTTCATCATCTTATTGCCACAAATAAATTTAAGCGACAAACATGTGACTTATCTGACACATTCAATGAAGCACTCGATTCGGTGCAGGAGCGTCGCAGCCCCTGGAATCACTTCGAATGAGAAGCTGCAGAAAGCCCTGGACCACATCCTGGCAAAGGCTAAGAAGAACTGCACCCCACCAACGCCTTGGCATGAGCTGCTACTGGATGATCCGGTCCAAGAGGCGCCAATCAAGAGGCGGAGGCAGACCAACTTTGATCTGCGGTATGAGAAGCTCGGCCTTGCATTTGGCATTTGATTAATTAAGTGCCGCATGTCCTGACACCAGTCATGTCACCCAAAAGAGTTTTGTTGAGCTATTGAGGCCTCTTGATACAGAGCTGCAATGGCCCGGCATTCACTTCAAGTTTATGAAGGACCACAAGGCCCAAGTGTAGGGGTTCCCGACATCCCCACGTTGCACACCATGCCCCACCAGGTGAACCCGAGAAAGCTGGTTCGATCGGACTTCGCCCATGCGGCCTTCCCGGACCAGAGGCGGCAGCATGTACTCCGGACTATTATTATGGTGTTGTTTCGGGAGCAAGAACTTGCAAAGGGGGCAGCTAAGGCAATCGATATTTTGTCGACGTTGCACGGGGAGAAGAAGCCTGCGATCGTCAACGTCAGCCAGCAGCTACACCGGATGCACGTGCAGCGTAAGTTCATGCCTTGCTTGACGCCTGGCTGCAACATGTACTTGCTTCACCGCGGCCGCTGTTTGACAGGCCGGGTACTGAATGTCGGGTAAGTTGCTTGGGTACGCAATGCTCATTGCTGTGTGCAGGCCTGGAGATGCTGCTCTTTCAGGGCTTTGATATCTCCAAGCTCAACCTGTATGGTATGGACGACAAGGACCGGGGGTCTTGTTCTGGTCACGCAACGTTTCGACTTATATAGGCTTGATTCGTTTGTGGCAGTAGAACCAGACATAAGGCTGTGATGATTCTAATAGTAGCGGTGATTGTCTTTACATTTGTCTATCAATAGTTTAAGTCTGATGATACTGGCAAGGTGGTGTTGTTCTCCATGGTTCTGGTGGTGTGTCGTTCCGTAATTTTATGAGACACGTTTTCTCTTGGTGATGTTGTAGCCTGGTTGAAACTGCGCGGTTTCGCTTGGTGATAATGTAGCCTGCTTGAAATTGCGATATTTCTACATCTGCACCCCACCACCCCAGCCTAGAGTCTCGAATCTTTGAAAGTTCGGCAGTCGCTCACTATCGTTTGGTTTCCACGGCATCCTCGGGATTACGGAGGTAAAGTTTCATTTGGGGTTTCGGCTGTTCGGGCGGTATGCATGTTAGTTAGTTTTAAACTCAGTTTTCCGTGTTACTTGATTGGACTTCTCGCTTTTTAGGGGGGCCGGCTGGACAGTTAAAGTAGGACCTAAGTAGGAAGTCGGCTCACTGGGTTGGGTTCCTTCTACCCTGCCATTTAAGTTTTAGACTTGGCATTGACCGGGCCGGATTGCTGTGGAGGTCTTTTCAGGGTTTTGCTTGCACGGGGATCATGTCGTATAACCCCTTCTGGGTCTAAGCTTATTATGACAACAAGGTTTGGGGCAGGGCTCGTCGATTGAATGAGTGTCATTGAGAATTCCGGGATCGACAGTTGCCTCTTTGGAAATTCCTGGCTAGTTCTGTGGCTTTGGGAGGTGGGTCTAGGTTACTGATGGGTTGGAAACTCGTCGTGGTGTTGCCTATGTGGCTATATGATGGTTGCTGCACATGACCGAAGTAACTCTTAAGTCTGACCTGATGTGCTGGGTTCAAAGTTTAATGGTCCGGGTATTGCCCGGCATCTGTAGATATGTAAGACTTCAAACATGGGTCAACTCGAGGGTTTCATCATGTATCTGGGACACCCATGGGTTCTAAGTTTGACTGATGCTGTGGGGGTGTCCGGCTGCTAGCAGTTTTGGCTCGTCGAGGTTCCGTGCTCCGAATTAATTGGCTCACGATCAAATTGAATTTAGCTTACCAGCCAAAGCGCTGGTAACAAATTAAAGGCGACACCAGTCCCAAGCTGACTCATTCTGTGGGCTTTGTGGTTGTCGCAATCTGCTGACAAACTTGACTGAGATTGACTTCAGGCGCATCTTCGGTTACAAAAAAACAAAGTTTAGGTTGGTGTTAAATAGTTTAGGTTGTGAGTGGTTGGCATGCCGGGCGATGTAGGCGCGAGCTTCAAACTTTGCTCATGACCATATCATGTGCCGATGTACATAGCTGGGGCCCCCAAGCAAGCTTGCCAAATATTACACCAAGACCCCCGAACCCATGACTCCAAAATTGCATTTGCCTTGCATGTCCAGGACTTGAGGAGGTTGGCAGGGAATGTGTCGAAGCTGCAACCAGAGAGTATGTTTTGTCGCTTGGTCAGGCAAGTTGTTGACTCCACTTGACTGGCAGTTGAGGCGATGAACATACGGTCTGCGGCGTTGGCATGGCTTGCAGCCTTTAGTGCTGCAGACTTGGATCGCCTCCAAGAGGAGATCCATGCTCGCAGCTGATGCCGCTTTGGCTTGCAGAGCGTCTTGTAGACATGCTGTCCGTGCCTTGCGGGTCGGGTGAGGTTTGTGTTGCTGGCTCTGAGGACCCACTCTTTGTTATGCCATGGCGATGGCTGGGCAAATGGATCAGGGAAGTGCTCCGGTTTGCAAAGCCTTTAGTGCCCAAGCTGTGTCTTGTGGGTCGCGATTTTTTTTGTGTTGCTGGCTCTGAGGACCCAGTGGTTATGCTATGGCGATGAGTGGGCAAATGGATGGATGATGGAAGTGCTCCGGTTTGCAAAACCTTCTGTGCACATGTGGTGTCTTGCGGGTCGGGATTTTTGTGTTGCTGGCTCTGAGGACCGATTTGTTATGCTATGGCGATGAGTGGGTAAATGGATGGATGATGGAAGTGCTCCGGTTTGCGAAAACCTTCTGTGGACATGCGGTGTCTTGTGGGTCGGGATGTATGTGTTGCTGGCTCCGAGGACCCAGT